CCACCCGGCTCTGGGTGACACCGCTCACGTGCTGGGGAAACTGAGGCAGAGCCTAGCTCCCTCTGCCGGGTCCTGGCCGGTCCCCGCTCCCCTCCCGTGCCCTTCGCCGGGCCCCCAAGGGTGGCTGAGCACCCACGCGGGTACCGACTGCCCCAAGGGTGGCTCGGGCACGGGAGCGGGATGTCCCCTTGGTGTCCCCTGCGTCCCCCCGGTGCTCGCAGGAGCGGCAGCGATGGGGTCCGGGCAGCCCCGGCACGGCTGGGTCAGTGCGGGTGCACAGGCTGTACCAGGCTGTGCCAGGCTGTGCCAGGGTGGGTGCCCGTGCCCAGCCAGCCGAGGCTCCAGCGGGAGCTCCCTCACAGCCCCCGCACCGGCCGGGCAGCGTTTAGTCAGCAATGGGGAGGGTTCCCCGCAAGCAAACCAGTTCCCCGGGCACTGGAGAAACTGGAGGGACACCGGGGCGAGCCTGGGCTTTGAGTCACTGTGTGCGAAGGGAGGGACACGGAGCGGGGCACGCCGGGCACGGGCGGGGTCGGGCTCGGCTGGGACACGGGGCCGGGGGGAGCCCCGCAGCACCCCGAGTCCTGCCGGGGCTGCAGGGGCGCCCCGCGGTCATCGTCCCTCCGGGCGGGGGGAACGGGAAGGTCGGAGTGGAAAAGGAAAAAAGGAAAAGGAAAAAAGGAAAAGGAAAAAAGGAAAAGGACGCTGCCGTGAGCCGTGTCCCCTCCCGCGGGGGGACGCTGGGTGCCTGTCCCCGTTCCGGGTGCCTGTCCCCGTTCCCGGTGCCTGTCCCCGTTCCCGGTGCCTGTCCCCGTTCCGGGCAGCTGTCCCTCTGCTCTGGCCGCAGCTGCGGTGCCTTTCCAGCTGCCAGCTCCGGGGCGGGGCAGCCGCTCCTGTTTGGAAGCACTGAGGGCGAGGGGCTCTGCCGGGATCAGCCAGCCCAGCTTCCTTGGCAGCACCCTGACCAGGACTTTGAAGGGGGTTCTCCAGCCCCCCAAGAAAGATGAGAACCCTGTTTGCCAGGCCATCAGAGGGAGGAGGAAGATGCAGGCGAGGCCGATGCTTTGGGAGGTGAGATCCAGCTGCTGGAGGAGGGGCTCTGCCTTTCCCCAATATCCTGCTGAGCCCTCCTGGCTCCCCCAAACCAATTTTATCCCCCACTGCTGGATTTGCTGTTGGGGGAGTGAGGTTTGAACAGGGCTGGGGGGATTTAAAGGGCAAGGGCAGACGTGTGAGCTCTGGTCTGGGGGGTCTGCAGCCTCTGAGGAATATCCTTCAGCTGTCGATTCCCCTTTATCAGGGAGCAGGAATATGTATGGGCCGAGGTGCTGATCAATGCCCGCTCTGCAGCGATCAATCAGCCGCTGCCCCAGGGCTCCTATCGACGGGAGCTGCCGAATTTGGGCACAACCCATCACTGCAGGCCAGGGGACGGGGCTGTCTCTGTCCCCCTGCCCTGCGGGGGGAGCCTGGCGGCGGGCAGAGCCCCACGGGGCACCCTCAGGAGCCCTCCTCACCCTCCTCACCCTCCCCTGTCGGGTGCCAGTGCCGGGGGAGCCCCGGTGGGGATGGAGCAGGATGGCCACGCTCCATCCCCAGAGCTCTGGGGCACCCCCAGCCAGAAAAAAAGCCCCAGGGGAGAATTTTTGGAGGGTTGGGGAGGTGCTGCCTGCTGAGGGCACCCTCGGGGAGCACGCCTGTGCCAGTGTCCCCCCAGCCCCGGGACATCCCTCGGTCCTGTTGGGGCGAGCAGGGGGTGCAGAGAGGGGGAGGAGCAGCTCCGTGCCTCCTTTATTGATTGCTCGGTAGCCAAAGGTCAGCGGCGAGCGTGGAAGGCTGGGGAGGAGGGAGGGGGGTGTGAGGGGCTCGCTGCCAGCTCTGGGCTGGGCCACGGTGGGGGCAAATGCCAGCCTTAGGCAGGGCAGGGTGGAGTGCCCAGCATGGGCACCCTCCGCTCCTCCTCGTGCCTCAGTTTCCCCACCGGCAGATGGGCTGGCAGGAGTGGGCAGTGACCACCGGGCTGGGTGGGTGGGGAAGGAGGCGTGGGGGGCTGGAGGGAAGGGTCTGTGCCCGCAGGAGGGGGTGGAGAGAGCTGGAGGAGGTTTGTGCGTCTGTGTGCAGCCAGCAGGGCTGTGCCTGCGGGGTGGGCTGGCAGAGGGATCGGTTTTCCTTGGCCGGAGCTCGGAGGCTGCTTTTGAGCCGGGAATTTTGAGAGTGGTGACAGTGACAGCGCTGGGAGATGGCGCTGGAGCCTCAGCTCAGATAAGATCATTTTTCCACGGCCCTCAGGACCCTGGAGGGGCTTGCAGCGCCCTGGGGACACCGGTGCCCATCCCTGCCAGCGCTGTGACCCTCGTGCCCGGGCGCTGCCCATCCCCGGGGCTCGTCCTGCCGGGTCCGGGCCCGGGGCAGCTCCGTGGGTCCGGCCCAGGCACAGCAGCGCCGGCACCGGGCTCACAGAGCTGCTGCCCTCGCCCCGGCCGTGCCGAGGGGGAAGATTTACAGGCTGTCAGAGCCGGGGCCAGAGGTCAGCAGGGGTCAGAAAGTCCATTTCAGTGAGGTCACTGTCCACTTCTTTCAATCTAATGAAGCCATTATTTGTGAAAGCGGCCGCTTTGCCGGCTCTTCCCTTGAAGCCGAGCAGGGCACAGCCACCGGCTCTGAAAGAACAGGAAGGAGTCCCCGTCCCTTCCCTTCCGCGTTTGCCATTCAACAGGACCCGAAAACAAACACAGCGCACAGAAATGTGCCGCGGGCTGGGACACGGCAGCCGGGAAGGGTGGCATGGGGAGGGATGGCAGTGCCCCGAGCGGGGACGGGGCTGCGCCGCTGGCTGGGAAGTCACTGAGGACGGCCAGAAACAGGGGGATGCTCAGGGAGTCGCTGCTGCCTGCAAATAGTTACAGGGAAATGCTCTGGGTTTGCTGTTGTCACCCCTGTCCGTCGGGAAGGGGCTGCAGGGGGAGCCTGGGGGTTATTTTCGGAAGGATTCGTGGTGGAGAAGGCAGAAAAGAGCTGGATCCTCACCAGGTCCTTCCTTCCCCCGTGCCCTCACACCGCGCAGGCTGCGCCCTCCCCAAATCCCGAGTGGATGAGCTGGGATGGAAGCAGGGATGAGTGTGGAGGCTGGGTTATTTCCTCCCCTCCTGCCGCAGCTATCCCACAGCCGAGAGGAAAACGAGGATGAATGTGCAGCCCCTGCAGCCAGGAGAGGGGGCCAGACGCGCTCCTGCTCCCGGGATTGTCCCGGGATGATCCCGGGCCGCCACCCGCAATGCTGTGAGCGCCAGCAGAGAGGGAGAGCGAACAGGGACAGGCACGGCCGTTCCCTTCTTGCCAGGACTGCCCCCAGCCCCGTCCCGGACTGGGAATTCTGCGGCTGCCAGAGCCTGGCCAGGGATGGCAGTGGGGATCCCACAGGGAGCACCGGCCAGACCCTTCCCTGGGTTTGGGGATCGGTCGGGACTGACGAGGAGGGATCAGCGGAGCTTCCTCCCGGCCCGGTTTGTGCCCGTTGAGGGCGGTGTGAAGGTGAGGGGACACGCTGTGACACCGGGCGGGGGTCACTGGTGGCACCTCCCGCCCTGTCTGTGTGGGGCACGGATCCACCTGCACCGAGTCCTGGCGGGCTGGGGCGCTCCCGGCAGCTCGCTTGGCTGCCTGCACAGAGAAAAACCCTCCTCTTCCTCCTCTTCCTCCTCCTCCTCCTCCTTTTGCCGTCCACCTGTGGGGTCCAGGGGGCTGCTCGGCTCTGTGGGAAAGGGGCAACGAGGAGTCCCCGCTGTGCGGGGCAGGAGCGGGAGGAGGGCGAGGAAGAGCGGGAGGAGGGAGAGGAAGAGCGGGAGGAGGAAGGCACCGCCAGGACCCTGGACAGGGCCGCCTTTCAGCACCACGGCCAGCGGCAGCGCCCGCGGAGCCCTCGCGCGGGGATTCCCCACGCGGGATTTCACCGCCAGCACCGGCCCGGCCCGGGGGTCCCCCCGCGGGTCCCCCCGCGGTCCCCACCGCCCCCGGTGACCGCTCGGTGCCCTCCGGTGCCCCTCTGGGTGACACCACTCGGGACTGTCCCCGCGTGGGGCGGCGGCGGGGGGCGCAGAGGGCACCCCCAGCCCCAGCTGCCCCTCGGGGGGGACCCCCGGAGCGGGCCGGTTTGGGGGGCCTGGGGGTACCCCGGGGCACAGCCCGGGCGGGCGGCGGGCGGCGCTGTGCCCCCGCGGCCGGGGCATTGTCCGCCGCCGGAAATGGAGCCGCTGGTCACTCGCCCTTTGTCCCCGCCCGGCCCGGGGGGCGCCGGGCCCCCGACACCGCCCCGGCACCGCCGGCACGGGGGGCGGCGCGGCCCCGGGGGCAGCGATCCCGCGGCTCGCACGGCGCCGGGGGGCGCGCCCCGCTCCCGGGACACGCGATGGGGCGGGGGGCGCAGGAAGCCCCCGGTGTCCCGGGAAGCCGCCCCCTCCCCCGCGCTGCCGCCCGGCCCGGTGCCGGTTCCCCCGTCCCACCGGGCCGCGGCTCGCAGGTGGCTCCACCGGCGGGGAGAAGCGAGGTGGGAGCTGCCCCGGTGTGCGGGGGTCCCGCGTGCAGCCCCCCCCTGCCCGGGTGTCACCTCCTGCCTTGACAGGTGGCCTCGCCCCTAAGTGCCCTAAGCGTGGGGGGGGTCAACCCGCAGAGCCCCCCCCCCCACCCCCGCTGCAAATCCCTCCCGGAATGTGTCGCTATTACCGGGGGGGTTAATTAGGATCACGTGGGGCGGGATGGCGGAGCAGGGCCCGGCGCCCCCCGGCCCCGCGGGTGGGTCCTGGGGGGGGCGGGGGCTGCTATTGTCTGCGAGAATTTGGGAGCCTTTGAAAAAACCCTCCCGCTCCCTCCCACCCCTATTGTTGGAGTGAAGATGGAGTCAAACCTCTCCCGGCTCCCTCCCGGCGGGGTCTAAGCTGGGTTTTTTGTTGGTTTTTTTTTTTTTTCCTCCTTTTTTTTTTTTCTTTTTTTTTTTTTTTTTTTTTTTTTTTTTTTTTTTTTTGGCTGGCCTGATACCCTCAAAGCTGGCCGAGGAGGAGGAGGGAGGAGGCGGTAACAGCCACAACTCGGAATTTGCAAGCGAGTGTCGGGATGGGGTCTGTTTCCAACCAGCAGTTTGCAGGTTAAGTTATATTATTGTCGCAGCCCGCCTCGGCTCCGCGATTATTAATAACGAGGGCAGAGCCCGGCTGGGGGGCGCAGGGACCCCCCCGACCCCGGCCCACCCAGCCCCGCTGCGCCCCGGCAGCGCGGCCGGGCCCGGCGGGCGCCCCTGCCCCGCGCAGCGCCGGGGGCTCCAGGGGGGGATTTATCGGGGGTTTTATCCCCCCTCCAGCCCCAGGATGACCCCAGAAGTTTGGGGCCGCTGGGGGTGTTTTGAGCGGGGGTGGGACGGGGCAAGGGGGGGATGCTGACGCCGAGGGAGAGTTTCTCCAGCATGGCTTGCTGGGGGCAGGGGGGTTTCAGGTTGGTATTTTGGGGGAGTTTTTCTCCCTTTTTGAAAGTTTCGTTTTAATATTTTGATTTTAGAAAAATAATTTGGCTATTTTTTTTCGTTACTCGTTTGGTCTTTTTGTGTGTGAGTCTGGGATTTTTGATTTTTTTTTTTTTTCCCCGTTTTTAACGTTTTTGAGGGAGAAACGGATTTAGGGCTCCCCCTCCACGCACTGCCTGGGTCGCGCTGGCAGGAGCTGCCTTCGTTTCCTGGGGTGATCCCCGTGCACACGTGGAGGCAGAGCTCACCTCTCTGCTGGTTTTTTTGTGCCTTTGGGGATTTTTTTTGGCGTTTTCCAGCCCGGCACCCCGAGCAGGGTTGGAGGTTCCCGTGCGGGCCGCCCGGCTGGGTGCGGGGCGCTGGGCCGGGGGCACCCGCGGCTCCCCCAGCCCGCGGCTCAGCGGCTCCGTGGGTCTCTCGCCAGGTGCGAAGCCGGGCGAGGAGCCGGCCGGAGACTCGCCCAAGGCCGAGAACGAGTCCCAGCCCCTGCACGGCTCCGGCATCTGTAAGTGGTTCAACGTCCGCATGGGCTTCGGCTTCCTCTCCATGACCGCCAAGGGCGGCGCCACCCTGGACTCCCCCGTGGATGTCTTCGTGCACCAGGTACGGGCCGGGGTCGTGCGGGGGCCGGGGAGGGCAGGGCAGCCCCTCCGGGGGATGGAGGGGCCGCGGGGACCCCCGTGCGCCCCAGCCCGCAGCCGGGGCTCCTCTCCGGGGACCGGCGCTGTAAGGACCCCCGTTTCATGTCGCCGTCGTTGCCGGCTGAGCGGCCCCTCGGGACCGGGGAGCAGGTGCCCCCGGGACGCGCCGGAGCGGGGACACGGCTCGGCCCGCGGAGGGACCCGGGGAACCGGCGGTGCCACCCCGGTAGCCGCTGCCGGGAGCCCCGAGCCTGGCCGGGATGCGGCACCGGGAGCTCTCCGGCTGGAGCTCATCCCGGCACCGGGCAGCTCCGCCCGAGCCCTTTGTCCCGTTGAGGGTGGCACAAAGGCGTCGCGTTTGTGTCCCTGCGGATCTGAGTGACAGTGACAGTGCCGTGTCCGGGTCTGACCTCGCTGAGCGGGGAAGCCCCACGCGTGTCGGGGACCCTGCACCCGGGGAAGCCGTGGGTGAGGGGCTGAAGTTCCTTGAACGCCCCGGATCCCGGGGCAGGATCCGCCGGAGATGCCCCGGGGGCTGGGGACGGTGCCCAGAACGGGGCTCAGCGCAGCTCGTGTGGTGCCCCCCACCTCGGGACAGCGGCTGGGGGGCAGAGCGAGCACGAGCCAAGGGGGCACGGGTGTTTTTGGGGCAAACACGGGGGGGTTGTGCCCCTGACTCAGAGCAGCGCCGCGGTGCTGGCTCTGGGCAGCCCCCGGAGCAGCCGCCCGCAGTGGCTGCTGCTCCTCACGGGCCCAAAGCCCCCCGGAGCGGGTCCATCCTGGGGGCTGGGGGCGCAGGGCTGAGCTCTGGGCTCTGAGGAGCTCCTGGAGGTCGCTCCCGGGGGTCGCTCACTCCCTGCCCTGGAGCTCCAGGCAGGACTGGCGAGGAAATGATGGCCAGGGGAGATGCCAGTCCCTTCTCCCTTGGCTGTGCCATGGGCAAAGCGCCTCGGAAGGAGCTGCTCTCCCAGGCACAGCTGGTTTTGGAGTCAAGGGCTGCAAATCAGCCAGGGGAAAACAGATCCTGGTGTTCTCCGGAGAGCAAATGGGCCTTTGCATCTCAATGCAGCACAGCGGGACCCAGCGCTCCCGGGGAGAGCCCCCCGCCCTGCTCCTGCGGCTTTATTGCCCCCAGACAGTCTGGTTTCCTGATTGCTCCTGCTCACATTCCTGCAGGGGAAGGGAATTAGCTGGGGTGTCTCTGTCGGGAGCATCCCACTGCCTGCAGCCTCTCGGTGCCCCCCGGTTCCTCAGGTCGGGGGAGCCGTGGGATCCCAGAGATTGCAGCGTTTGGGAAGCACGGGGAACTCTGGGGAAAAGCGGCTTATTTTGGGCAGCAGAGGGGCCGGGGGCGTGGGGGGTTCCCCTGCTGCAGCAAAGGGCTTTGCCCCACCAGCAGCTTTGGGCTGATGGAGAATTCTTCTCCTGCGGGTCGGGTTTCTCCTGCTCCGCTCGCTGGTGGCACAAAGCCCCTGCTCTGCTGCAGAGACAGCCGGAGCTGCTCCCGGCGTCTCTCCCGGCGCAGAGCATCTCCTGGCAGAGGGAACAGCTCACGCTCCCACCGCGGCCTCGCTGCTTTTGGGGGTGCCGTGCAGGGAACCGGGTCCTTGTCCCGATGCTGTCCCCACCCCGACACCCGGGCGCTTCCCCAGAGCCCGTGCCGGCTCCGCTCCCGGGGAGGGAGGGCTGCGAGGGCAAAAGCCACCAAAAGCCACGGGGCCAAGGCTCAGGGCTCGCTGTGCCCTGCCCAGCACCCAGCACCCCAAAGCAGCTTTGGGGCTTAACACTCCAGAGCCCCTCAAAACCCGCTCCTTGCCCTCCTCATTTACATATGTGAATGATGACCCACAGGAAGTAATTGTGGGAGAAAGAAGGGAATTGGCCTCTTTAGATCTATTAAATCACTTTATTACAGGAACCAGGTCTGAATGGCCCCTCTCTGCAGGGAGCGCGTCTCCATCTCCCTCTGCCTTTATCTGATCACAAAGAGATTAAAATCTCGGCAGGACAGGAGACTAACAGGGCTCCTTGGGGCTGCCTTTCCCTCGCATTGTGAGCTAAAAATGAGGCATTTGGGTTCAAATGCCTCCCCTGGACACTGGAGATGGATTCATTTGGGGGCTGTGAGGAGACAGGAGGGATGAAGCAGAGGGGAGCAGAGCAGATCGTCCCGGGGAGGCCAAGGGCTGAGCAGCACCCCTGAGGAGCTGGGGGTCTTGAGGTGGCAGAAATTGGGCTGGTGGTGATGGTGAACACCCCAAAGGTGCAGTGGTCCCCTCGGGATGCGGCTGCCAGGCTCTGAGCATCACTCACAGGAGTGTGGAGCTGCTTGGGAAGGCAACACGGAAAGAGGGAAAGGGGGAAATCGAGGCTCGGTGCCGCTGGTTGGAGCTGGAGGAGCCGAGCAGAGCTGGGCTGGGGTTTGGGCTGGGCTCTGGCTGGGGCACAGAGGAGGAGGATGTCCAGTGCCTGGAAATCGTTGCTCTCCACAGCTTGGCTCTGCATTTCCGAGCGTTTCTCCCAGCCAGCAGGTCTAAGTCCTTGATAAATGCAGTTAGTTGGGTGGCTTTGTTCCTTCTCGTGGTTTTAGCAAGAAATTCTGCCGGGCACCGTGGGCACCGTGCCCGCAGGGTTTGCTCACTGGCATCTCAGTCCTGTGTGTCCTTGTGGGGACACAAAGCTGTGCCCGCGGTTTGACCTGCTGGGGTGGGATGTGGCACTCCCCGGGCAGGGTGGGACCCGCTGGGGACATCCCAGCACGGGAGGGGCTCCTGTCCCCCGTGATGCTGGACAGGGATGGGGTGGGATAACGGGGGTGGAAGTTTGGACACGGGTTTGGCTGAGCCCACCTGGGCTGTGACCCACCTGTGCCACCCCGTGAGTGCAGCCAGGATAATACAAATAATCATCCACGTGAGCGTGACGTGAGGCCTTTAAAAAAAAAAAAAAAAATCGTGTTTGGAGGCAGCTCCGCGTCTGAAGCGTGACGTGAGGCCTTTAAAAAAAAAAAAAAATCGTATTTGGAGGCAGCTCCGCGGCTGGGCGTGCAGAAGGGCACGAGGGACAGTTCCTCTGTCAGGGAGCAGGACCCAGCCTTGCCTGGGCTGGGCAGGATCCCAGCGGGGCTTTGGGCTGAGCGGGGCTGGGGGCAGCGAGGGGAGGGGGAATCCGTGGTGCTCCATCCTCCAGGGACACGGGAATATCTCGCTTTTCCTGTGCTCGCTCCGCGGGAGCAGGGTCACCCCCAGCCCGGGGGCACCCGAGGTGCACATCCCCGGGGGGGAAGGAGATCGTGGAATCACAGATTCGTTTGGGCTGGAAAGGACCTTTAAAGGTCATTTAGTCCAACCCCCCTGCAAGGAGCGGGGAACTCCCGCAGAGATCCCCTGGGGTAGAAATGCTCCTTGGAATCTCTGCTTTTTTTTGTGGGGGGAGAGGGGTAGTAGCAATTCCTTTGGTTTTGTTTATTTTGTAGGATTTTTTGTTTTTTTTTAAATAACCGCTGGAATGAAATTGTATTGCGCCGCTTGTGCGCCTCGTCCCGATGGGAAATTCTGAAAGAGAGCGGCTTTATTCCACCCCTGAAACTCCCTCAAGACGCTCACACACACACACACACACAAAAAAAAAAGCCTCCTGTCTCTGTCTAAAGATTAACTGATGGCCGCAGGCACATCCCTTCCCCCAGCTCCCCCTCCCTGCCCCAGGGAGAGAAAACACCCTGCAATGGTCTCCTGGATAACGCGGCCCAAATGAATGGGATCGCTCCGGGACGGAGCCCCTGTCCTGCCGCCCCCCTCCAGCTCTGCCCTTCCCTTTTCCCCCTTCCCTCACTCCTAAGAATTAGCGGCATGGAGCTGAAATCATCCTCGGGAGAGGCGCGGCTGCTCCGGGAGCACAAAATTAATACGCAGCCACTGATCCCAATTAGCCGCCCCTGGGAAGTGCAGGAGGGTTTTGGTGGGGGAAAAAAAAATACAACCAGAGGAGCTAAAAGGATTTAGGACAGGAAACTGATGGATTAAACTCTGTGGTAGATGCCTCTTTGGTTGGTTGTTTTTTTTCCCTCGGAATTTGTATTTAGAGTTTAATTTTACTGGTTTGTGGCGGAAAATTGGGAGCAAACATCGTTACTTTGGCAGGAAAATGCCTTTATTTTGATTTTAGTTGAAGTCGGTAGGGGTCCTTAGGGACATTGCAGATGACGTGAGGGAGCCAGTGGAAGCCTTGGTGGTGTTTTGTTAAATCCTCTGCGCTCCCCCCGGGGGCTCCAAGGGCATCGCCCTCCTTGTCTCAGCAGCACGCCCGGGCTGGGGCAGGACCCGCTGTGCCCCGCACATCCCCCGGTGTGCGGGGGGACCGGGGGGCTCCTGCTCCAAGCCTTCCCTCCTGAGCCCGAACCCAGCAGCCATCCTGGAGCTGCTGGGAAAGATCTGCTGTGTGAGCTGGGGACAGGGCAGGGCCTTTGGGGACAGGGACGAGCCAGGCTGTGAGGGCCAAGGGACAATTCCCTGCCGGGGCTGGGACTCGGCTCGCTGCTCCGTGCTGCCCAGCCCTGCCCGATCTGCTGCGGGGGTGTTTGCCAGGGGCAGTGCCCAGCTGAGGGGGAACTGCTCTGCCAGGGCTGGGCTGAGCCCGCTGCACCCCCGGGGTTGGGGTGGCAGCACCCAGTGGCCGTGGGGGGACCCGTGGCTGGAGAATTGGGCAAGTGTCAGCCCCCACTGCCCCTCACACCGCGGGCTGCTCTCACAAACCTGAGCCCCCAGTGGTCCTGGTGGGCTGGGGGCTGCCCTGGGGGCTGCCCTGCACCCCCACAGGGTGTCTGGTGCCTTGGAAGCGGCAGAAGGAGGTGACAGAGGGACAGGGACACTGTGGCTCTGGGGACCATCCTCTGCAGAGCAGGGGGGGCTGCACGGTGCCAGCTGAGCCAGAGCTCACCGCGGGCAGGGCACCCCAGTGATGGGGACATGGCCCCCCCCCGGGCTCAGCAGCCCCTGCGCTGCCTTTCCTGACCCTCCTCTGCAGAGTGGGGGAAACTGAGGCACAGGCACCGCCTGCAGTGGGGCTGGGCAGGGCTCAGACGTAGCCGTGGCACAGCTGGGCACTGCCAGCGGTGCCCCTGCAGCCGGGCTTAGCCCAGCATCCCAGCCCGGCTCGTTTTCCGAGGGATCTCGGTTTAAAGGGCCGAGGTGCAGCGGCTGCTCCGCCCCAGGCCCCGCTGGACACAAAGATGGTTTGATTGAGTGGCCGGGGCTGCCTGGGAATAAACGTCCCCTTGTGTCGCGCTGGGGAGGCCGCGGGGACAATGGTGACCCCGGGAGCCCCTCCGGAGCCCGGCGGGGTGGGGGAGAGCCGGAGCCGGCAGCTCGGGGGGCAGCGGTGGGGCTTTGGGGCGCCGCACGGTGTCATCCCTCCAGGACGGGAAACGCGGCTGAGTGCGGGATCTGCGATGGGGGATTTGCTGGCTGGGAGGAAGAGGAGGGATGAAGGCACCCATGTGCGGGGGGGGGTGGGCAGCGCTCGGCCGCTCACGTGCTGCGCTTTGTCCGCCCTAAATAACCGGGGATGGGATGCGGGGAGGGAGGGGAGAGGTGCCCGCCGTGGTGCCCGGGGGCCGCTGCTGAAGCCGTGCCAGCTCTGCCCCTGTCCCTTGTCCCCCGGGCCCGACGGCCACAAGGAAATCCCGGCCGGGCCACGCTTCCTTCGGGATGGCAGCGCTTTGTGACCCCGAGCCCGGGGCCACCGCGCACCCCCGGTGCCAGGGCCACCCCCGGGACCGCGCGGAGCCCAAAGCCCGCGGGCAGCGGGCGAGCTGGGCACGGCACGGCTCTGAGCAGGGGCTGCGGGGGGTCAGAGGGCCCGCGGCCACCCTTCCTCCCCCCGCCGGGGCCTGGAACTCCTGGAATTTGGGCAGCGGGAGCGCGGCCGCCGCCGGCCCTTTGTTCTCGCTGGCCGGTGGCTCCCGGCCCTCCCCTGCGCTCCCCCCATCCCCAGCATCCCCGGCTCGCTCCAATCCCCCCCTTCCTCTCTTTATTTTTTGGGGGGGGGGGGGTGTGGGTGTGTGGAGGCCTGGGAAGGCTCCGGCTTTGTGTGTGGTGTGGGACAGGGGCTCTGGGCCCCTTCCTTTCAGATGCAGGAGGTATGCAGCTAATTCAATGGGCTGCAGTTTGATTACCTATCTGATAACAGAGGAATGCCAGCAATGTGTGTGTTTTGGGAAGGGGGCAGGGGGGATGCGCAGGGACCACCAGCCACTCTGCAGCGCACTTCAAAAGGCTGCGGTGGGGGGGGAGCGGGGGCAGAGCTGGGACGCCCCAGCCTCTGTCCCCCCCTTCCCTGGGGAGAGGGCGTTTCCTTTGGCCTTTTGGCGGAGGGGGCTGGGGGTGCTTGTCATCCTCACCCGCTCCTGGAAAATAAATCGCTTCCCCGTCGTGTTGTGGCAGCTTCTGCCTCATCCCTCCTCTTCCTCCGAGAGGGGCTGAGGGTGCACGGGGCTGGACTCTGGCAGAGGGGCGGTGGTGCCCAAGGTGTGGCTGAGCTGGGGGGCCCAGCCCGGGCGCTGGGGACCCCCTGGCACGGCTCAGCTTCAGCCCGAGGCTCAGGGCTGAGCGCCTGGGAGTTTTCATCCCAGCAGTGTAAACACAGCTGGGCCAGCTGGGGCTGTAAACGCCCTGAGAGGAGCCACGGGAGGTGCCTGGCCTCGGCCCCCGCTCCCAGGGCTGCCTCCCGTGCCAGGAGTGATGCTCAGCCCCTCCTCACCCCAAAACCCCGGGCTGCCATGGGAATGGGGTAAATTCCCCATTTGGGATAGCTCCCATTGCACAAATCACCCAGGGCTGGGCACAGGCCGGGCTGGTGGCTGAGCCAAGGTGCTGAGACACCTCTGGGGTGTGCTCAGGCACCTCTGGGGTGTGCTGAGACATCTCTGGGGTGTGCTCAGGCACATTTGGGGTGTGCTGGTGCCTTGGGCACACAGCTCCTGCCTGGGGGATGCTCAGCACGGGGCAGCTGGGTGGGTGCTGGGGAGCAGTGTTCAGTCACTGGGGGGTTTGCCAGGGGCTGGTGGTGCTGGCACTGCCCTGGGTGGGCACAGGTGGCCGTGACACTCTGTCACGTCCTTGTTGTCATTTGGGAGCTCAGAGCTCAGGGTTTTGCCCTCCCTTGAGGCAGCAGGAGCAAAGGAGGGTCCCTGTGGCCACCCTGGACCCCAGCCCAGCAGCTCAGGGAATCCAGGGCCTGGGGGTGACTTGGCCCAGCACATGGGGTCTGTCCCACCCTGAGCTGGACCCCCAGGCACACAAAGGGAGGGGAAAAGCAGCAGAAAAAGGGGTCTCAAGGGTCGTTCCTCGAGCTCTGCCGTTCTCCCACTTCTCCCGTGCCCTCGGACTCACAGACATCCCGCAAGGCCCTGCCAAGAAAAATTCACTCCTGTAACCCAACAGCTCCACTTCTTCCCTCTCTGTTTCCACGTGGGCCGTCCGCTCGTGACTCCCGGTGAGGTTTGGGGCACGGAGGGGAGCGGACGGGGCCGGCCCGTCCCGGTGGCTGCGGGGGGAACGGGAGAAGGCGGCCCGCGTGACGGGAGCCCTCCGGCCATGAATGGGGGAGATGCTCCATTCATAAATGCGATGCAGCGTGGTGCTGCAGCGGCGCAGGCGTTGGGAATCCCCCCGGCAGGAGCTGCTCCTCCCTCTGCCAGCACATTCCCCCGAACTGGCTGCTCACGCTCCTTGCGGCTGCCTGGCAGAGCTGCGGGGATGCCGAGCTGGAGCTGCTGCCCCCGGGATGCTCAGGGCACAGGGGGAGAAAATTCCCGCCTGCCTCACCCAGCTCTGCTCCTTAGGGATTTGTTCTGCTAAAATGGACAGAGCCCCTCGAAGTGGAGAGGGGTTCTCCTGTCACCTCACAACCCCCCCTCCCCAGCCTGGGTTTGTCTTGGCTCCCCTGCTTTGATTGTGTGGTGATAACCGAGGTGGTGTTCCTGGAAGGAATGGGAGAAGCTCCCAGCAGTGATGGTCCTGTGCCAAATGGCTGCTTAATTAATTATTGCAGGCAGTTAAAGGGCTCGAGCTGAGCCTTGCTACAGAGCCTGCCACGAGCCCAGCTCCCATCACTGTGCAAAGCCTCGAGATTCTTTTGTATTAATAAAACAGAACCAAGGGACAGGCAGGGGGGACATTTGCAGCTCTCGTGCCACACAGGCCTTTGTGCTGTGCTGGAGAGCAGCCAGCTCTGTGCTGACCCCCGTCCTCTCCCCGTGCCCCCCAGAGCAAGCTCCACATGGAGGGTTTCCGCAGCCTGAAGGAGGGCGAAGCCGTCGAGTTCACCTTCAAGAAATCATCCAAAGGTTTGGAGTCCATCCGGGTGACCGGCCCCGGGGGCGTCTTCTGCATCGGCAGCGAGAGGAGGCCCAAAGGGAAGAGCCTCCAGAAGCGCAGGTCAAAAGGAGACCGGTGAGGGCTGGGCCGGGGCTGGGGCCGAGCCCCGCGGGCACCGGGAGCTGCCCGGGCACCCCGGGGATGGGCACGGGGCCGGTGGGATGACCCTCGGTCTGGGCAAGCAGCTTCCTGCGGCGCTAATGAGCGGCAGATGCAGCTCGGTGGGGAAGGGCAGCGAGAGCAGGAGGGGCAGAGGTCAGGGACACCCCGGGCAGGCTCCCCTCGCCCCGGAGCCCGGCTGGGCTGGGGCTGCTGGCTCCAAGAGAAGCCTTTCCTTGTGGGAAGGAAACAGCAGGACCATGGCAGGATGGGAGCCCCGGGGGAAGTTTCTGGCCGGGCCTTCATCCCTTCCATCCTCTCCATCCTGGTTGCCTGGGGATGCCCCATCACAGTTTTGCCAGTGGATGCTGTCCACCCCACTCAGCTGCTCTCCTCAAGAGGTTTTTTAATTCATCAGAAAGGAATTGTGAAGGAAAAGGAAAGAGAAAAGGGTTGTGGCCATCCTGCACGGATGCAGGATTTAAAATGGACACAGGGCAGCTCCCTCTGCTCCTGTGTGAGAGTGGCACCCATGGGACAGGACGTGGGAGGCGCAGCCCAGTGAGGAGCCACCCCTGGCATTGTCCCCACACGATGACAGCTGGTGATGCCAGTCGTTCCTTTGCCTGTCCTGGGGCAGTGTAACCCCGGGAGTGGGCTCTGGAGACACAGGAGCAGCACACTGATGGAGCCAGAGGGGTGGAACCCCCCACATCCCGTTTTGTCCCCGGTGTGTGGCTCCAGTGCAGAGGTTTGCTGCCATCTCCTGGGTACCAGCAGCACCACGGAGCCCCAGCTGGCCGTGCTGGAGCTGGGGCTCTGCAGGGACCAACCCTGGGGCCAGCACCCACCCCGAAAGCCGAGCCCAGCTCTGGCTGAGAAGCCAGATGGGTCCCAGGCATGGTCCCAGCACCCTCCCGCCTCATTTTGTCTCTCCTCCCCTCGCGCAGGTGCTACAACTGCGGCGGGCTGGACCACCACGCCAAGGAGTGCAAGCTGCCACCGCAGCCCAAGAAGTGCCACTTCTGCCAGAGCATCAGCCACATGGTCGCCAACTGCCCCGCCAAAGCACAGCAGTCGCCCAGCTCGCAGGGAAAGCCCGCCTACTTCCGAGAGGAGGAGGACATGCACAGCCCGGCCCTCCTCCCCGAGAGCCGGGAATGATGCTGGGTGGCGGGGAGAGGGGGCTTCCACCGGGGTGAGAAGGCTTTGGCAAGGCAAGGGGCAGGGGAGGGGCTGGGGAGGGCAGGTGGCAGTGCTGGCAGCGGGGACCTGGTGTCCCTGCACAGACCTTTCCCCCGCGCCCAGGCTGGGAAAAGCCCTGTTGGCATCAGGGTGTTCCAAACCAGGGGAAGGCAGCACCCAACACGCTTCTTCCCGCTGAAAACCCCGAACACACTTGATTAATCTTTATTCTTTTCCCAAGTTAAGGCAGGCGGTCGTGTCTTGGGGAGGAGGAGCAGAGGGGCAAGGTCCCAGGGAGGAGCTGATGGCTCCTTGTTCCCTGCGCTCCGCACGGGCTCTGGCACAGCCCGGAGGAGCCGGGGGGAGCCGCTCCTGCCCGGGGCAGGCTGAGGGAAGGCTGCCGGTGCAGCACAGAGCCCGTGGGCCGGTCCCGCGGCTCCCGCTGCTCCTCGGGGCTTCTCCCTTTCACGGAGGTCTGAGGATTTGTGGTTTTGCCACGGCTGCTCCATTGCTGACAGCAGCAGAGCCCGGGTTTGGGCTCAGTCTGGGAGGGTGTGGATCCTCTCTCAGGGCTGCAGTAACACCACCAGTTTGCGGGCTGTGAGCTGCAGCCTGGGGGACAGCAAGCCAAAGGAAAATCACTTTTTTTTCCCCTAATCCTCCCCAAGGGCAAGCCCAGAGAGCACAAGGTGCTTTAAGCAGCCAGCTCTTCCCTTCTCAGGCTTCTCTCAGCCTCTGGGTCCTGGAGCTGGGGACACCCCTGTGCTGGGGACATCCCTGTGCTGGGGACACATCTCAGCTGGGGACACCCTCTTCACTGGGGACATCCCTGAGCTGGGGACATCCCTGTGCTGGGGACATCCCTGTGCTGGGGACACCCTCTTCACTGGGGATGTCCCTTTGTTAGGGACACCCCTGTGCTGGGGATACCCCTGTACTGGGGACACCCTCTTCACTGGGGACACCCTGTGCTGGGGACATCCCTTTGCTGGGGACATCCCTTTGTTAGGGACACCCCTGTGCTGGGGACACCCTGTGCTGGGGACGTCCCTTTGCTGGGGACACAGCTCAGTTGGGGACACCCCTGTGCTGGGGACACCCCGTGCTGGGGACATCCCTTTGTTGGGAACATCCCTGTGCTGGGGACATCTCTGTGCTGGGGACACATCTCAGCTGGGGACACCCTCTTCACTGGGGACATCCCTGTACTGGGGACATCCCTATGCTGGGGACACATCTCAGCTGGGGACACCCTCTTCACTGGGGACATCCCTGTACTGGGGACACCCCGTGCCGGGGACCTCCCTTTGCTGGGGACATCCCTTTGTTAGGGACACCCCTGTGCTGGGGACAGATCTCAGTTGGGGACACCCCTCAGCTGGGGACTCCCCGTGCTCCTCCTGCCCACCCCACCTGCAGAGCCCGCTGCCTCTGGGGCTGAGCCTCCCCAGGGACAGGGGACAAGGCTGTCCCAGGTTAGTGGCTGCTGTCCCCTCTCCCCAAGTCTTGCCTTTATTTATTGGCCCCGGTGGACCCCCCTTCTCCCGGGAGCCCCCCAAGCCAAGGCCAAGTGAAAGCTGCACTAGGACGTGCGTGAATGACGTATCTTTGGGTTTGTTTGTCTTTGTTTTGGGTTTGTTGTTCTTTTTTTTTTTTTAATATAAATATTCTGGTTTTGTATTTTTGTATATTTTAATCTTTAAGAAAAGAAAAGGAAAAAAAAAAAAGAAAAAAAAAAAAAAAAGGAGAGAAAGGACATAATTCCTGCAATTTATTCTCAGGTATTCGAGCAATCTCAGGGATAAAATGCCTCTGTAGCCCAGTGCTGGACAGAGAGGAGGGTTTTTTCTAACAGCACAAAGAAATGATGAAGTTTGCATTGGAAGTGTAGATCTACCTCACTGGATGTTTGCTAGGTGGGCTGATGTGTTGTCGAGCTTTTCAAATGTGTTTTTTGGTATGTTTGGGATTTGTTTTCTTTTTAACTGTGTTGTGGTGGTCTCTTTCCCTTCCCCATGCACTGACGGAGGATTTGGGTCTGTGGATCTGTGTGTGGGGATGGAGAAGCCAGGCAGTGCCACGGGCAGGGAAGAGGTGCTAGAGCCTGTGTCAGCTCCCAGCCCCTGAATTTCTGCCAGCCTGGTGGCTTCTGAGGCCTGTCCTCTGTTTCTCTCCCCTGCTGACTCTCCAGCTGATGGGAACACTCCAGTGCACCCCGTGCCCAAGTCCTCTGCTGCCCTTGGGCTGGGGTGTCACACAGGCTCCCAGCAGGCTGGTGGGTCAGGATGGGGGTCCCAGCCCCATGCAGGGGGCAGAGGAGGAGCAGACAGTGACCAGGGAGTGCTGGGACACAGGGTTACCCTCAGTCCCTGCCCCTCCTCTCCCTCGAGCCCGGGGCTGGCTGTCCATGGCCTCCCAGGACAGGGGAGGTGCAGCTGCTCCATCCTTTTCTCCTTCCTGGATTCCCTAAATGCTGACTCACCATGGCCAGGAGAATCTCTGGATCCCAGAGAATGTCTGGATCCCAGGTTCTGGGGAGTGAACACTCCTCCTGCAGCCCAGGGGGTGGCTGGAGCCTTCCCAGGGAGGGTGGCCATGCTGGTGTCCAGCTCTGGGCACGTTTTCTGCTGGATTTTAGTAGCAGTAGGTTTAGCTGTGGGGCAGGGCTGGGTCAGACAGGAGCACCCACTCCATCCCCAGGGATGGGGGGCTCTGGGGGGTTCGCTGAGGCTGCTGGAGCCCAGAGACCCCCAGCACGTGGGCATTGAGGGGGATGGAGAGCAGCCCCCAGCAGCTCCCTGCCCTGCTCCAGTAGTTTAGGGTGAGGTGGTGGTCTCTTCTTGGGAGAGGGGGGAAGGACTTTTATTTTTTGACTAGCAACGGGATCTGTACAAAACTGCTTCAGGAAAACAGCTTTAGTCTGACGGGGTAAATGCAATAGAGCCTTGGGGGGTGGCTCTGGGCCTCCCCCCAGCACCTCGGCTGTGCCAGGGAAACTGCAGCCCCCTTGTCCCTGTGTCTGCCCCCTCATCCCTGTACCTGCCCCAAATTCCTGTACCTGCCCCCTCATCCCTGTACCTGCCCCAAATCCCTGTACCTGTCCCCTCATCCTTGTGTCTGCCCCCCAAATCCCTGTATCTGCCCCCTCATCCTTGTGTCTGCCCCCAATCTCTGTGTCTGCCCCAAATCCCTGTACCTGCCCCCCAATTCCTGTATCTGCACCCCTTGTCCCTGTATCTACCCCCTCATTTCTGTATCTGTCCCCCCAACTCCTCTATCTGGCCCCTCATCCCTGTGTCCGCCCCCTTGTCCCTGTGTCTGCCCCCTTGTCCCTGTATCTGCCCCCCAATCCCTGTAGCTGCCCCCCTCATCCCTGTGTCTGCCCCCTCATCCCTGTACCTGCCCCCTCCTCACCCCCCTGTATCTGCCCCCCAATCCCTGTACCTGTCCCACTCATTCCTGTCTATCCTCAAGGATTCTGTAGGACCATCCCCCCCTGCTCCCACTTTAATGGTTTGGTGATTTCTCTGTCAGGTGTCTAGTGTGTGTAAATACCTCTGTAAACCTTCCCACTTTCTCTCAGTATTCTCCTTGATTATTGTTTACAAAAATAAGAGGAAAAGAAAAAAAAAAAAAAGAAAAAAAGGAAAAAAGAATTAAAATATCCAAAGCATCTAATAGGTTATGGAGCAGGGAGATGGATCTGCTCTCCCACACAGAGCTGCCAGGTGGGAGCTCTGTAACCATCCCTGCCCTGGGCAAAGCAAACAGGGAATCACTCAGGTTTTCCCCGGGGTGCTGGGATCTAAGAAAACAGGGATTTTAATCTGTGCTGGGAAGCCACGCTGGAGGAGATGGGATTGATTCGCATCTCCTTGTGTTGGCCATTGTGGCTCTTCCCTTCTGCTGACAATAATTAACTAAATTGCTGCATCACGGCCCACCCTGCCCAGGGGCACTATGCATGAGGGGACAGGGAGGATGGGGCACGCTCAGGGTCCTGCTGTGACACGGGACTGTTTGAATGTATGAGGAACAAAACAAAGATGTCCCTCACAAGGGGGTGTCTGCCCTGGGGCCAGAGCCTTGAGTCCCAAAAAATGTCCACGAGGAGACGGAAGAATGTAATCCATGTTTACTGCTAGCAACCAAAGCGTTGGTGTCAAACCCGGGAATTTTATGGGGTGGGAGGGAGGGGATGTGGGGTGCTGTGTGTGTGGGGGGCTCAGGGTGACCCCTGAGCAGTTACTCACACTTCCCAAAGACATTTCCTGCCGGAGTCCCTGCAGCGACATCCTCGGTTCCTGCTGCTGCAGGTTTCCCCCCTTCTGCTCATTGTGTTTTTGTTTTTGTACCAACTATGTAAAATGTGGGTGGTTTTTTTCTTTTCTGGAAAAAAATAAATAATAAAGACCATGGGCAATGGCTGCTGGTGATGTTCTCTGTGTGGTTACTTTTGTTTTTCTCTCCTGGGGTTGAGGAGCCCAGACCCCAAATGGGGGTCCCAGGGCAGGGGATGGTGCTGGGATCCACCTCCCCTGCAGCCCCCCAAAAGTGTCCCAGCCCTGTCACGGAAACACAGACCGCTTTGGGTGGAAGGGACATTAATAATCCCACCCGATAATCCCACCCCTGCCATGGCAGGGACATGTCCCCTATCCCAGGCTGCTCCAAGCCCCCACGTCCAGCCTGACCTGGGACACTTCCAGGGATCCAGGGGAACCCACAGCTTCTCTGGGCACCCTGTGCCTCCCCACGCTCACAAAGGGAGAACTTCCTGCCAGTTTCCCTCTGTCCCTCTGAAGCCATTTCCCGTGTCCTGTCCCTCACCGCCATCCCTCCCCTCACAGCTCCCCCCCCACCCGCCATCTTCCCCTCCCCTCAGGGCGCCTCCATCCCCGCGCACGCGCGGCCCCGCGCGCCGCCGTGTGACGTAAGCGGAAGGGCACGTCACCCTCCGGCGGAGGCTGAGGCGGCGCCGCCGGGGCAGGTACCGGGAGGGACCGGGGGAGAGCCGGGGCTGAGCGGAGCTTACCGGAGTTTACCGGGGCTTAGCGGGCACGG